GAAGGTTGAGCGACGAAGAAGAAAGGTGCCCGTTATTAGTATAGGTAGTAACTATCAAACAATTTTCAATTATTATTTCATATCCTCGAGATCACTCTTATTTATATGTGGTATTGGTTAATTCATGTAACTGTGAGATCCCACGTTGGTTGGAGAGGAGAAAAACATTTCTTATAAGTGTTTGAAAACCTCTCCCTATTAGACATGTTTCAAAAACCATGAGGCTGACGACGATACGTAACAGGTCAAAACAGACAATATCTGCTAGCAATGAGCTTGGTGGGCTTGAGCTGTTACACAATTGTGAGATCCCACATCGATTGGAGAGGAGAACAAAACATTTCTTGTAAGAGTGTGAAACTTATCCCTAATAGACACGTTTTAATACCGTGAGGCTAACGGCGATACGTAACGGGCCAAAGCAGACAATATCTGCTAATGGTGGGCTTGAGCTGTTACACTTTTTTACTCATGCGCCACAATATGCCTTTGACGACGACATTCTTATGAAAAATTATTCAATGAATCCACTAGAATTTAGACGTGAATTCAGAGTATTTCTCTCTCATACATTAACCGTGAAAAAATTACCAACCACATCATAGCGGTGGGATCGAGTTTAATTAATGCAATTAACACTAAGTAAAACTCAAAGCCCAATAAATTATTACATTACGTGCAACTCAAGAAAAACCAATTTCAAATTAGGGTTTTCAATACAAAAATTTAACTCCAAACCCCATTTTTAATAATTGTAATTGGAAAAAGGGTTGTTTTGGATTGTTTCTTTATCAAACTTTTTTGACCTTTTGCACAATTTCTTTTCAAAATTAAAAAATAAAAAATAAAAATTAAATTTATAGTCATCATCCCTTTGTTCAAGATTTCTTGCAACTTGGGATTTTGCTTGAAAACTTTACCATTATAACTAACTCCCTATGCATAAGCATGGCCTGCCAAAAGCTTATATCAACTTATAGGAAATAAACCCCTTTTTCATTCATACCCCAACTATATATATCAATACAACCAAATCTTCATTCCTTATTAGATACCCATTTCCTTCCCCAAATTGCTCTCTTGTTCTTCATTTCTCTTGAGTTTAATACCCACAATTTTGTTCATAAGTTCTTGGTTGGTCATAGCAATGGGGCTTAAAGATATTGGAGCCTCCCTTCCTCCTGGGTTTAGATTCTACCCAAGTGATGAAGAATTGGTTTGTCATTATCTTTACAAAAAGATTATGAATGAACAAGTTCTTAAGGGCACTCTTGTGGAGATTGATTTGCATACTTGTGAACCATGGCAGCTTCCTGGTAGGCTCTTTTTGTTATGAATCTCAGCTATTTTGGAGGGTTTTTCTTGGATTCATAATGGGTTTTCTTGGATTCGTTCATATATTTCTTAATCAATTGGTTTGGTTGATGTTTTATGTGTAAAAAGATGAACTTTTTTGCATGAACTTGTAAAGAACAAAGATTTTCCAATGCTTTTGTGTAGTACGATGTGGTTTTGTATGACAAAAAATCTGTGTTTTTGGTTCTATGTTTACCTTTCGATGTCATACGAGGTGGTTTTAAGAGGCATTAATTTCATGACAATTGGCTAAATCCCAACCCTTTTACGAGTATCGGATTTCATCTCGACCTCGACCTCGACCTCGACCTCATTCACATTAAATATTCAAAGAATCTCTCTTTCTCTCGTACCCCACGTACAAACACGTGCATTCGTGTAAAAATCTTGTATTTCAGCGTTTTGTTTCGAGAATATTTCATCCGATGTTTTGATTGTTGAGCTGTGTTTCAGTTGTTTTTAGCGTTTTTTTTCTAGACCGACGCTCTATTTCGCTCTCGAACTATTAGATAAGGTTTTGTTTAGGGAAGACACGTAAAAGAGAGGGAAAACAATGGATCAAAATTGAGAAACTTTTGGTCCCATAATTGAAGTAATATAATATAAGTTGATGAGTCATAATACCCATTTTCCCACAAGTGCTTGAGCTAGCTTCTTCTTGTAGAACAAGCTTCATTAATTATTGATTCATTTCTTCTTTGTTCTTAGTTCTTCACAAAATTATATATCAAATCTTTCTTTCATGCAAACAAATCTTGTTTTGTTGTTTATGATCATCATTACATTGCTAATCATACCTTTATGATAGGGCGATTATTGTAATTTATAGTGAAAAAATACGTTTATTTATTAATAATTTAGTTGATTAATATCTTAATCATAGGCTTCATTAGCCTTAGGCTTTAGTTTCTATTTTATTCAGTAAATTATTCATAACTTAAATAGAACGAGTTCAATCATATATAGTTAGTGAAAGCGAAAGATTAATTTAACTAATTAATTCTTTTTTGTTTTTTTTGGGAATTAAAAGAGGTGGCGAAGCTGAATAGCAACGAGTGGTACTTCTTCAGCTTTCGAGATCGAAAATACGCGACGGGATATCGGACCAATCGTGCGACGACATGTGGATATTGGAAAGCGACTGGGAAAGATCGAACGGTGGTGGATTCGTCAACGGGGGAGATCGTAGGGATGAAAAAGACTTTGGTGTTTTATAGAAACCGAGCTCCAAATGGGATTAAAACGGGATGGATTATGCATGAATTTCGGCTAGAGGCCCCTCATAGGCTCCCAAAGGTTGGATTTTTTTTTTTTTTTCTTTCTTTATAGTCCTTCAATTTGGAAAGAATTATATTCATGTACCCTTAAAGGGTAACAACACAAAAGTTGGTGTCTTTTTCCACTTTGGTCATATTCAATTTAATGAATTTTTCTTGTTTGCATTAAGAAAGAATATTTATTTTTTAGTCCCTCCAAAGTTCAAAATTAACAAAATGAGCCAATTTATGTGGGTGCAGGAGGATTGGGTTTTGTGTAGAGTGTTTCAAAAGGGGAAGCAAGAAGACTACAACAACAAACTCAACCAGCATTTCACATTCAGAAACTTCGAGCACGTTCCTTCTGTACTCGTCCGAGCTCCATCTCCCCCTCCGAGTGATCCGAGCAAGACCGTGATGCCTTCTGGCTACAATGTTGATATCGATATCGCTTCGTTATCGTCTTCGATAGCTCCCGAACAAATCAGCCATAGCCACACAGGCAGCTGTTCTTTTCTCCATCTCCTTCAGCAGCTTCCTCAAGAGAAACAAGACAATAATCCCAAAACTGATCAACTCTTCTGCCCAAAAAATAATGAATCAGATTATGGGGTTATGTGGGAAATGGATTTGGAAGAACAAACCTTTCGAGATGGTGTCATATCGAACTTGGATCAGATGGAATTCGACGTCGATAGCAGCCAGGTTTTCCTCTGAAAGTGCAATGATATCTGCTACGCTACGCTGCTCTGTTGATATATAGTTTGTATATTAATGTATGGTGCATTTGGACATAGGAGAGTATTGGGGCATTGTTGCTTTGGACACACTTAGATTTCATTCTTTCTTTTAAATCTTTGGTCTTGTTGTAAAGAACATTAGTCAAAGCTGTAATGATATCAGTTAGGCGCATTACTGTGGATGTAATAAACTTGTGATTTTTGATATCACAATATAGAGTTCATGTGATTACGAAGCGGAACTACGACCCACAAAGCTCGAGGAGATGCATTTGAATCGTAAGAGTTCAAGGGGAAACGAAAGTCACTTAGCTTCTAGAGTTAGAGTGAAATATTCCTTGAATCCCCCGAACGTTACTTAGCTTGTATAAGATCCCAGATCGGTTGGAGAGAGGAACAAAACATTCTTTATAAGAGTGTGGAAACCTCTCCCTAACAGACGCGTTTTAAAACTGTGAAACTAAGGACAATACATAACGGACCAAAACGGACAATATCTATTGGCGGTGGGCTTGGGTTGTTACAACTTGTGCATGAGTTGAAAATAACACGTGACATTTTTAGATGTTGTGGGGATGAGATGACATGACATCCTCCGATTATGTACACAAGATTTTCCCCATTAGAATTGAGAATGTAGATCCTATATACCTTTCATTTGTTCATGAGGTCCTATCGAGACTGTAGGCCTATTCATGAGGTCCTATCGACAAGCCTAGAGATTCGTTAAAGAGAGTACATGTCTAAAGATCATATTACCTGAGTCGTGCATACTTCATTCGCACTTAGACACCTTGCCCCGAGCTCATTTTGCGAAAGCCATACATATTTTTTTTCTTAATTTTCATTTTCTTGTTTTCTTAAGTTTCACAAGGTTTGGTGATGTAAGATCCCACTTCAGTTGGGAAGGAGAACGAAACATTCTTTATAAGGGTGTAGAAACTTCTCCCTAGCAAACGCGTTTTACAAACCTTGAGAGAAAGTCCGAAAGGGAAAACCCAAAGCGGACAATATCTACTAGCGGTGGGCTTGGGCCATTATAAATGGTATCAAAGCCAGATACCGAGCAATATGCCAGCAAAAAGGCTGAGACTTGAATGGGGGTCGACATGAGGCGGTGTGCCAACAAGGATGTTGGGCCTCGAAGGAGGGTGGATTGGAGAAGGGAACGAGTGCGAACGAGTGCCAGTGAGAACGCTGAGCCTTGAAGGGGGTAGATTGTGAGATCCCACATCGGTCGGGGGAGAACGAAACATTCTTTATAAGGGTGGATTGTGAGATCCCACATCGGTCGGGGGAGAACGAAACATTCTTTATAAGGGTGAGGAAACCTCTACCTAGCAGACATGTTTTAAAAACCTTGAGAGGAAACTCGAAAGGGAAAGTCCAAAGAGGAGGGAAAGTCCAAAGAGGACAATATTTGTTAGTGGTGAACTTGGGCCATTACAGGTCGTGTAGAATCTAACTTATTTTTCACTTGAGTATGTGCGTACGGTGGGGAGATTTACAATCGAACATCTTTATTCTAAGCTCAATACTATCCGTATTAGAGATATTTAAACTTCTAGCATCTTTCTCAAGGTTATATGCCTAAATCTGTTGACCTATGTTTTCGAGAGTTTTCGAGAGTGACAGTTCTCACATACCCTATCAAGACAAATATATGAAAACGACATGATTCATCCTCTACGTATCGAGTTTTCTTACACTTATGTAATCACTACACTTAGACAGGGATATCAATGATGAACAGTGTTATACAAAAAAGACTGAACAATAATAGAAACCTTTAATGCAGACACAGAAATGGGAGGCATGCCACTCACAGTCCTGCAGAAACTAGGCCATGTAATGTGATAATGCCAATCAACATATCTTGCTGATTGATAACAGGCAGAAATTGTACAGGAGATGGCGGTGCTTCCATCTTTTTCATTGCGTCAACAGCCATTGCCTCGGGATCGATTGTTCTCGGGTTCCTGCCATACGGGACAAGTTCAACAAACAGCAAGATCTTGTACAAGCAAGTACCTCTCATGGAGTCAGCTAAAACAAGTGGGTATTAAAGATTGATACCTGTTGCACATTTGGCCTACCGTGAGCTTGAAGATGGCTTCACCACTAGCTTTGAGAGTGCGCCGCAAATCACCATCTGTGAATGTCCCAATCAGGTGATATTCCTCATCTATGACAAGTAGGCAGCCGCATCCTTTGCTCGTAAGCTCCACTAATTGATCCATTATTAGATCTTCTTTTTTGCAGACAGGAAGCTCATTCTGCTTCTTCATCACATCTTTTACCTGCATAATAACAAATATCAAGATCTGTATTGTTGGCTGACTCAAGATCGTTTCTCATAGTTCCTAAGTTACGGTAAAGCGCAACAAATCAAACTCAATTCCACTATGTAACAACTCAAACCCACCGCTAGCAAATATTGTCCTCTTTGAGCTTTCCCTTTCGAGATTCCCCTCAAGGTTTTTTAAACGTGTCTATTAGGGAGAGGTTTCCACACCCTTATAAACAATGTTTCAGTCTCCTCCCAAACCAATGTGAGATCTCATAATCCACCCCCCTTTCGGGCCCAGCGTCCTCGCTGGCACTGGTTCCTCTCTCCATCACAATCCAGCCCCCCTTTAAGACCCAACGTCCTCGCTGGCACACCACACGGTGTCCACCCCCCTTTGTAACAGCCCAAGCTCACATCGATTGAGGACACTAGGCGATGTGCCAGCAAAAACGCTGAGCTCCAAAGGGGGTGGACACTGGGCATGCCAGTGAGGAAAGGGCCCCGAAGATAGTGGATTGTGAGATCCCACATCAATTGGAAAGGAGAACGAGTGCTAATGAGGACGTTAGGCCCCAAAGGGGTGGATCGTGAGATCCCACATCTGTTGGAGAGGGGAAATGAAGCATTCTTTATAAGGGTGTGAAAACCTCTTCCTAACAGACGTGTTTTAAAAACTTTGAAGGAAAGCCTGAAAGGGAAAGCCCAAAGAAGACAATATCTGCTAGCGGTTGGATTGGGTCGTTACAATTAACCAATATAAAAGGTATCAATTGGGCTATAAAAGAAGAAATCACAATAAACAAGCAATCAAAACACAAACATGTCTCTCAAAACCAAAAGTTTTCTGTAGAAATGTAGTAAAAGCAGTCAAAATCCAACAAGATCAAACAAATGCCCCTCAAATTCACAGGACAAAGACCTAACAGAAGAAGGATGAGCATATAATGTTCAATACGTATTTTAATCAATGATCTGCTCGTTGAACTATCATTTGGCCTACAAGAGAAAATGAGAAGAGTATAAGATTTATAGTTGCAACAGAAGGGTTACTAGTCGATCTGCCAGGACGCACCATTCGGTTTCCGACTTAGGAATATGGCTAAGGATGGACACTTTAGTTGGACTAACGTATCCGTGTCTGACACGTATCAAACAAGTAGAACACTATGACACTTGTTAGACACTAGTTGTACAAAATCAACATAGGTCTAACATTCGTTAGACACGTACTGAACACTCGGCTTTGGATAAATTTTGAGAGTAAAATGCATCGACTTCTTTAGCACATAAATGATTGATTTTGATTTTCATCTTGTATAAACATGTCATTGTAGTATCCATGTCCTAGGTTTTTAAAACATTATGTGTCACTATGTCCATGTCGTGTCTTATCAGTATCCGTGCTTTTTAGATCACATTTTATTTGTAGAACCAAAGCTTATTCCTAGAATCTGACAAGAATGAAACATGGTTCAAATAGACATTGCCTGCCACCTACTGTTCGATTAAGATACTAAAACTGGTGATCTAACTGATATGGGAGCCTGATTACCGTTCTTATCCACTTTGAACATAAGCTCTCATGGCTTTATACCAATGGAGATGTATTCCTTACTTATAAACCCATGATCATTCCCTAAATTAGCCAATGTGGGACTCCCTCCCAACAATCCTCCCCTCGAACAAAGTACACTATAGAGCCCCATTTGAGGCCTATGGAGCCCTTGAACAGCCTCTCCTTAATCGGGGCTCGACTCCTTCTTTGGGGTCCTCGAACAAAGTAAACCGTTTGTTCGACACTTGAGTCACTTTTGATTACACCTTCGAGGCTCATAACTTCTTTGTTCGACATTTGAGGATTCTATTCATATGGCTAAGTTAAGGGCATGACTCTGATACTATGTTAGGAATCACGACTCTCCACAATTGTAACAGCCCAAGCCCACCGTTAGCAGATATTGTCTTCTTTGGGCTTCACGTTTTGTGCTTCCCCTCAAGGTTTTTAAAACGCGTCAGCTAGGGAGAGGTTTCCACACCCTAATAAAGAATGTTTTTGTAACAACCCAAACACAAGCCCACCGCTAGCAAATATTGTCCTTTTTGGGCTTTCCCTTTCGGGTTTCCACACCCTTATAAAGGGTGTTTTGTTCTCCTCCCCAACCAATGTAGGACATCACAATTCACCCCCCTTCGAGGCCCAGCGTCTTCGCTGGCACTCATTCCTTTCTCCAATCGATGCAGGACCACCACCAAATCCACCCCATTTGGGGCCAGCATCCTTACTGGCACACCGCCTCATGTCTACCCCTTCGGGGAACAGCGAGAAAACTGGCACATCGTCCGGTATCTTGCTTTGATACCAACTGTAACGATCCAAACCCATGCCCACCGCTAGCAAATATTGTTCTTTTTGGGCTTTCCCTTTCAGGTTTCCCCTCAATGCTTTAAAATGCATCTACTAGGGGAAGGTTTCCACACCCTTATAAAGTGTTTTGTTCTCCTCCCCAACCGATATGGGATCTCATGACTATAGTATGATATTGTGCACTTTGAGCATAAGCTCTCCTGGCTTTACTTTAGGCTTCCCCAAAAGGTCTCATACCAATGGAAATGTATTCCTTATTTATAAACCCACGATCATGGACTCCCTATGCCATAAGTTTCCCTAGAATCCCAATAGACATAAAGAAAAGCAGCTCAAGATCAAATGGATCAAGTAAAAGCAGAAGTAACCTTGAAAATGAGGCTCTTGCCGATCCTCCCAGCAGGATGATTGGTGGCATACTCCTCCTTAGTCAAATTCCGCGCACCCATAAGCGCAATAGCCACAGTATCTCCAAAAACCATTTGAATAGCAGTGGAGGTAACAGGGGCAAGATCAAAAGGGCACAATTCACGCTCAAGAGGCAAATGCACATTCATATCACAAACCCCAGCAAGCACATTACCTTCAACAGAGGTCAAAGCGATGAGATACGCACCCTTAGCCCTAGCACAAGGAACAAGGCGAAGAAGCTCTTCGGTATTACCGGATTTGCTAAAGAGAACAAGAACATCGCCGGAATTCAAAATGCCGATATCTCCATGAAGCGCATCGAGTGGGGAAAGAAAAGCGGAGCGAATGCCAAGAGAAACTAGGGTTTGTGAGATCTTGTTCGCGACGAAGCCGGATTTTCCGACGCCGGAGAAAAAGATGGTTCCGGTGGAGTTGAGAAGGGTGACGGCGAATTTGAGAGTTTGGGAGAGATCGAGATTGTGGAAGAAGAAATTCAGGTGATTTTGTTGGGATTTGAAGAGATTGAGAAGCGCAGATTCGTCGATAGGGCTCTGATTTGGATTTGGGAATTTTTCAGGCGGCGGCGACACGGAAAGGGGAATGTCGGAAGATTGAGGGAGAGACCCCATTGGAGCACTGTACTGAGAAATCAAATCGACACGGAGAACGAACAAGAAACGGATTTTTTTTTTTTTTTTCAATTTTTTAATTTCATATTTAGTTACAGAAGGAAGGGAAATGGAGACGACAAAGGCAGGTAGTTTTCGGTTGGTTTACGCGGTAAGAGGAAGAGCCTCTTCATTTTTCTTGGCACACGGCTGCCCTTTGTCGGTGGGTTAGCCATCAACTCAAAAATCCGACCCACCCAAACCATAAATGTTGAATTGGGTTCGATGTTGAATTTTTAGTTGTGGATTAACTTTTTTTTGTGTCGAGTCAACACAACCAATCCAAAAATAGGGTTACAACACAACACAACTCAACTCTATCTTACTCTAAGATGAGTATAAAGATTAAAAATATTTAACGTTTGTAATCAATGATAGTGATACAGTGCCGTGCAAATATTTGATACTTAAGTTGTAACAGTTGTAGAAGATAAATATGATTTTTTTTAATAATTAAAAAAAAACAAACGGCAACTCGATTCAACCAAACTCGACCCATTTAAGTTAGATTATGTGGTAAACTCTATTAGGATTATCTTTTGATAGCCCACCGCTAATTGATATAAATATATTTCATTTATGATTGGATCATCGAAACATATTTTCTCGATTAAAAAAAAACAATATTAATGGATGAAATTATTTTAGCCGACTCTAATTAAATTTTCCACAATGTTGGTTGGATTTTCAATGCTTTCACATGTAGCCTTCAAATATTCACATCAATCCATGCATTAATTAAGGGTTCAATATATATATATATATATATATATAATTATTGATTTCAATTTCTATATTTTAATAAATAATAAATAAATAAATATAATATAAATTCAACGTAATTTTTAAAAAATCAAATATAGGGACGGGATAAGGAATCATGTTTAATAAACAATAATTTTTTTTTCCACTTTCTCATTCGTTCTTGATTTAAATAAACATATTGGAGGGTTAAATGGTTGGTCTTAAAATTTAAAAAATATATGAATTAATAAAAATAGTTGGGCCTTAGGCCCATGAGAAAAGGAGACTGAGGAAGCAGGCCCAATAGCAACAAATATGAATTTGGGCTTAGTTGAAGGCCCAAAACTCTGTGGAATCAAACCGTACAAATATAATGTATCCTACGGTGGATAGGATTTAAATAAAACTCGTATTATTTATTATTTATATATTAAGAAAAAAAAAAAAAAAAAAAGGATGGTGGAGCCGCGTGTGGACAGTGGAAAGTGCAGAGCACGTGCGGAGCTGTGAGGGGTGTCGGCTACAGTGACAGTGCGGTCATTACCGCGGACCAATGAGGTCCTTATCTGGGACCGCGCCGTACGAGACCGTTGTCATGTCAACTTCCTTAGGGGTCCCACCCTCTTGCAGTCAAGCTTAATGTATGGACGGCCTTAATATTTCCATTATTTTTTTCTATAACCCTTTTTTCTTTGGCCGACCTAAATTTACCTAGATGCAATTAAAAAAAAAATATATATATATATATCCATTATTTTGTTAGGTTATATTATCGAGTGCATTCGATACCTAACGGCTGTGACATGATCTTGTTATCTACTTCTCGCTCTTAAGAGTGAACCTAGTCTTTACACGATGTTTTGTCATCAATTCACATGTATTGTAATAGCTCAAGCTTACCGCTAGTAGATATTGTTTGTTTTAGGTTATTACGTATCGTCGTCAATTTCACGATTTTAAAACGTGTCTATTAAGGAGCGGTTTCCACACTCTTATAAGGAATGTTTTCGTTTCTCTCTCCAACTGATGTGGGATCTCACATGCATCCCAACAGAACACGCTTAACCAACCACGAAAAATGAAAGTGCATTTTGTTGGTATAAGTAGTAACTTTCATTTTCTTTAAGCTTTTCTTAGTCATTCTATTCTCAAGACCACTCTCAGTCGGACATAGTTTCGGTTTGTTCATGTACCCTTTTTTTACTTGAATATTAAATTTAATCACCGAACTTTTATCAATGAATTAATATACAATTTTTTATGTTTGATGGGACTTTTGATAAATTTTCCCTAAGACAAAGAAACACCAAGGGAACTCTCCGACAATCAATTATCTTTAAAGGGTCAAATCAATATTGAAGATCCCTCAATTTTAAAGGTGTTGTCTAATACTTCGTGTCTTATTCAACGACGTTTTAGATACAGAATAGAAACTTTAAGGTTTCTGTAAGATCTCACATCAGTTAGAAAGATGAATGAAATATTCCTAACAAGTGTGTAAAAACTTCTTGTTAAAGGACGTGTTTTAAAATTTGGAGGGAAAACTCAAATAGGACAATATCTGTTAGCAATGAAAACATTGAGACAGAGTCCAAATAGAACAATATCGATTAACGGTAAGCTCGATTTAGGTTGTTATAGTTTCATTAGTCAAAATCCATTGGATAACATAAAATCCATTGGATCAAGATAACCTCGTGAACTAGACATATTATACAATAATCGACCTGACCATCCACTTAAGTCAAACCCTTCACATTGCATGAGCTCTCCTCGACCCGAACCATCCACTTATGGAGCATGACTTTGTAGTAAGCTTTAATTAAATTAGATTAATTAATTAATTTAAAGAAAGGTGTTAATGAGATTGATATAATGCTTTGGACATAATATTCCATAAATCTAGATGATAGGACATGTCATGTCCCTTTTGAAGAAACTATAGGTTTGCTTAGAACAAGAGATTACAAAAGGGCCCCCCACATTTCCTTTTTCAAATTTAAACAAATTTGTTTACACAATAATTTGTTCAAATTTAATTATAAATTAATGGGTCAATTATACTGCTCTCATTAGATCATAATATTGGTTTGTTCGTGTTTTGTCGAACGTTTGGATTAGAATTATAAATGGATAGGGTAGCGTTCTCGTTGTTGAATCGGAACAAATAAGGGAAGGAAGCTAGTCATTGGAGGGAAGACAAGACTGGTGGAGTCTGACTCCACAGAAGAGTCTTATCTTTATATACAAAGAACGTGTGGGTGCTATAACTAACACTTTGAAGTTAGCTGAAAAAATGGATGTGCGTTACTTAGGGCGCAACGGCTTTCAAGCTCGACTAATAAGGCTTTTATTAGAGAGGTGAGTCAAGGGCTTGCTTCGTTTTTGTTGCGAAGCTTGTAGCCTTCCCATCTCTGCCTAGCGTTCCACTTATAGGATAGGAATTGATCCACTCAATTTCAGTTGAAATTACAAATAACTTAACTATTAAATTATACCTAAGATAGGCTAATAATAATACTTTTTAAAAACTTAGTTCATTTTTCAATCTTTTGAATGTGAGAATGCGTCGGTGGAAAGGTTCATTCTGGTGAAAAATCTCGGTTTAAAGCTCTTGACATAGTGATGACAACTATGAATTTCATAAAAGAGATATTCTCGATATCCAAAATGCACTTCTACAGTACCTTTAATAAATTCGAGCATAAAATCTCATACAAGATTCTTTCACGAGATCTAGAAACGATTCGCTGACGTGGGTTGACCTCCTAAATTTATTTACGCTTAGAGATTACATGTCTTAGCATAATATGCAAAAGTCTCGATATACATCATACCAAGATTTTCCTTTGGGAATATCAAAATTGAAATAGTGAAATATGTTGGATCTATCTTTAGGAGTTCAAGTAGCTCAAACAACATTAAGTTTTTACATCTTTCAACGAAAAAAATCAATTAATTGTGTGAGATCCCACGTTGGGTGGAGAGGGAACAAAACATTTTTATAAAGATGTGGAAACCTCTCCCTATCATATGTGTTTTAAAACTGTGAGGTTGACGACAGTACGTAACGAGTTAAAGTGGATAATATCTATTAGCGGTAGACCTAGGCCATTACAAATTGTATTAGAGCCAAACACCACCCGGTGTAAAGGGAATGGATTGCGAGATCTCACATCGGTTGAAGAGAGAAACGAACCATTTTTTTAAGAGGGTGTGGAAGTATATCCCTAACAGGCACGTTTTAAAATTGTGAAGCTGTTTACAATATGTAACGGATCAAAGTGGAAAAATTTTGACTGACTATTCATCATCTTCAAAGCAATAAATGAAAGAAAAGAAGAGCCAAACGTTATGAAAATGGAGAGAAAGTTTATGAAGAATATAGGACCCAAAAAAAACAAGAGCATCTACAAAATTGGATATGCTCGAGACAATGAAATAAGTTTGGGGTTTCAAATGATATGTACACAAATTCGAATCCTTTCTTTTTCACTTTCAGAATGTCCATTCCTCTCGTTTGAGTAGTGAATATCTCCATATTTTTACAATGCTCGTTAACGAAGAATGATATTTTTATAGGCAAAAACGATAATGATATTTTCACTTATATTTCATAAACATGAAAATAAGAAACAAGTTGGCCTTAATTATAAAGCGTTGTAGAAACGGTCTAAGCTCGACTTTTCTATTGTGGGATTATAAACTTATTTAGATTGGGTTGAGTTCAAATAAATGAAAACTTGGTGTTCGAGTTAGTTCATCGGTTCATCTATTTATTTATTTTCATAATTAATTTTTTTTATTATGTATTCTTCTCTCGTAAATAATTTTAAACTATTGAAAGGCAACGTTTCTAAATATATTCAAATAGCAAATTTTAATTAAATGTTTGAAAATAAATGAATAGATATTTTCCGTACAAACCTTTTTATTAAAAACAAAAATTGGAATAAACTTTCCAAACAACTCTAACGAACCTGATCCAAAAAATTTATGATAGGCTAGGTTGAGATAATTTTGGTTCATAATTTTGCTCGAGGTCACACGTAGCAGATAAGTTGTGTTGATTTGGGTTTATTATTTAATAAATGTGTAATAGGCCGAGGCTATCGCTAGCCGATATTAACCGCTTTGACCTATTGTATATAGTCGTCAACCTCACGATTTTAAAACGCATATGTATAAGAGAAGTTTCTATACTCTTATAATAAATGTTTCGTTCTCTTCTCCAACGAAGTTGAGTTTAGAAAATGTTTCAACTCGACCAAACCCAACCTACAAACATCGTTAAACTCAAATTTAAAAACTAAATCGTTATTTTTACGAAATCGGGTTATAAACGAAGTAAATAATGGAGATGAAAAGTAAAGGCTAATTGAAGTGAGGGTTGTGTTAT